GTAGGAGGAGAACCATGAGGTCTCAAGTTGAAATCCCATCAAAGGCAAAAAAAACACTAGGTAATTTCTTCCCATTTATCTAATCGATCTAATCCTTGGTGGATAGAGTTATCCAATAGTGGTGTTGCTAGCCGGAACACCACTGTCATAAATAAATAAATAAATAAATGAGTCACCTATCTAATAGTCCTAACAGGTAATCAGTCAAGATGCATGTGAACGGGCCCGAACACTACCGTCACAAAATTAAAAAAAAAATGTCCCCTATCTGATAGTCCAAAGCTTGAAATAACACTAAGGCACAATTCAACAATTCCACTGGCAGAACACTCTGCTTTACTCACTGCCGGTGCTTTTTCTTTTTCACAATTTTCAGGAGACGGAATAATTTACGGGTTAAGCAAACAAAGTTAAAAAGGTGGCGAGATCGTTTGCAGTGAATGAATTACCTCAAATTCACCAAACGATTGTAATCTATCAAGTATCTGTCCCATGGGAGCTGAAAATACCTAAAAATCAAAATTCAACAATTGGAAGAAAAAAATATCATTAGGAGTGAAAATAGTTTGTAATATGCTAAAAAAAATAGCAGTGGTAATTTTGCATGCGCTCTGGGCGAAAATGAATTTAAATAAATTAAAGGAACAGAACCTCCGGGCCGCATTTCACCTTCTTTTCCATTACACAAACACCTATCTTTATCTTCTTTTCCATCTCTCTTTTTTCCCTCTCTATTTCTCTCTTTTACGGATGAAAAGCTTCGAACATGCTTTTAAATCTCTTATTTTCACTGCTCTGAAAAAAGAAAAAATTGGCAAATCCAAACAGTCATTATACACATTCCATGTACGAAAAGCACACGTATGATAGATAGAAGGAAAGGGAAAAATAAGGAAAATGAATGAAAATATAGCATAAAATAAGTAAAAGTGTAACTATAAACCGTAAGAATCGCGGAAGTTGTAACGGAAAGGAGAAAAAATGGAGATTTTTGCTACTTGCTAAAAAAGTTGTAGGATTAAGAAGCAGCTTATAGAAGTAGAGGGAGTCACGAGAGCAGAAAGAGCACTGCGGTCTGCGGGCGGAAAGGCTGCTTGACACGCGTAGCTGTAGACAAAAATACTTTGTCTTGGGAATTCCGTATTTAAAAGATGACTTTTTACATGGTTGCGGGAAATATTGCCTAGGCTAAAATCAACATAAAACTTACTACCAATTTTATGATGAATTCACCCCAATTTATTCGGAATTGAAGCCTACTTGTTGTATTCATCAATGTTTTAAAAGATTTTTTTTGGGATTCGTTTGAGGTTTGCTCCAAGACGGGGCATTATCAAAACGTCTTTAGACTCACGTATGAGGCTTATTTTTGTGAGGTTTAAGCTTTAATTGTTCGATTGTATGTCTGAAACACGTATAATACTCGTCACTCGGAGCTTGCCTAATAGTTCCTAGCGCAAAGCATGCATCAAATTTCCTAATTACCATGGTTAACACTCAAAATTCTTTAACAAATAAGTGATTAAAGTTCTATTTATCTATAAAAGTATCAAAAGTGAGAGCAACTCAAAATAATGAGCTATAGTATTCATATTTACTAATTGAGAATATTAGAGAGTGAATATCATTCGAATAACTAAAATTTATATCTTTACTTACTCTAAGTATTCATATTTTAGTTTTATGTCGCTCAAAATGACCAAACTTTTAGTATTGCTATTTGAAAATAATTTTATATTTCTTCATGTGGAGTAATATTTAAAATTACACTATTGATGGAGTTTATTGATTATTAGCTTTTAAAGAGGTAGTCTGTGTAGTTTGATAATATTTTTTAAAGATGATATAGTTGATTATTATCTTATAGTAATTTTTTACGCTATTGCATTATTTATATTTATAAAAAATAAAAAAATATTTTAATTTTTGTTAGTTTCTTTAATTTTATAATTTTCTTAATTACTTTTAATGTACTTTATATAATTTACATTTCAGTTCAGATACCTTGCTCGACTTGCGCCTTTGCATGTTCGACCGCTCCCCCATCCTACCTGGCCCATTCTAGCGGGGAATAACCTCAATCCGTAGAAGTTGCATGTGGTACTTCATTCAACGATATATATATAAGATCCATCTGTATAGATAGCCCTATACAATAGACAACAGTTCCATTCGTGACGTGAGGCTCCAGCTTAAAACTTTGAAACTATACAAAATCATACTCGGCAACTGAAGCATGGAGGAGAAGAACTGGAAAGGGCGAAACCTCTCTTTTCAAAAGAAAGCGACCGCCAAAAAACATTGCAATAGAGAACTATTATTATGCTATTTTATTAATTTATAACTTAAAACTTTTTATGATTTATGGGGCTTATGGCCCGCCCCATGTCTCAAAGCTTATGCTTCACTCCACGTTAAGTAAAATATTTTGCCTCACACTCCCGTCGTTTAAAATACTATTTTTCATCCGTAAAAAGATATTTTCTCCCTTTTAATTGTTTGAATGTTTTTGAAGTACGAGAGTGAAATTAATTAATTTTTTACGTTAATTTGGACATAAATTCCATAAATATTCTAAAATAAAATTTATATATTTAATAACCACATCAAAATATTATAAGTCATAATAATTAATAATTAAAAATATTTAAAAACACTTTGCCAAAAAATGTAGTCAAAGAAAACCTTGTTTGACTTCCAAATAGTGAAAGGTTTATTATTTTTAACGGAGGGAATAATCAAACATAATTTCATTAATTTCTTAAATAAAATTTATGAAGCTAAAATCTAAGTAAAATAGAAAATCACAATTGTTTCTCTGAATCAACTATTCAATTGCAAGCTAATTGGAGTCCACTGTATGTACTTATATTTATGTTATTTGCTTTCCCAAAACCAAATAGTATTATATGATATGTTTCTTTTATAGGAGTATATATTCTTTATTATTTAATTATGGTTAATTTAATATGCATATTTTTACTTCAATTATTTTTAAATTATGATAAAGTAATGTGATTTGGTGAATCATGGATAATGGACAAACACAATACATTGGCTGGAGGTATTAGGATGATAGGATCTTGGAATATACATTTAGAAGGTGATCACAAAAAGACTGAGAAAAGACGTGAAAAGTTTTGGACATTTGGATCGACCTTAAAAAGCTTATAAAAAGATATATAAGTGCTACTTTGTCCATGTCACTGTCTATATCATAGAGTTTGACTGTCCTTTTTTGTTCACTTGAAAAAAGGTGATGGATTATAAAGGTGTCCTTATGCATTTTGGCACACGATATAAGCATGATACTTTAAAGATATTTGCATTATTTAATTATAGCTTTTAACCAAAACATATATTTCCTCCGTTCCAATTTATGTGAATTTGTTTGACTGGGCACGGTGTTTAACGAAAAATGAAGACTCTTGGAATTTGTAGTCCTAAACAAGTCAAAAAGGGGTCCAGAGTATTTGTGTGGTTATAAAAGCTTCTCATTGAGGGTAGAATTGTAAGTTTAAGCTAAATAGTTTCCAAATTTAGAAAGGAGTCATTATTTTTGGAACGGACTAAAATGGAAATAGGTTCACATAAACTGAAACGGAAGGAGTATGTTCTTTTCACCAAAACATACTAACTATTTTGTTTTATTTAATGTCATGTAATTACTACCTTTTGTTCTATATTATCCGTTAGTTCACATTTTTGATCCTTAACAAAAAATATTTGATAGCGTTAATTATAAGAGTTTTTATAATTACTTTTTTTTAATCTATTTTTAATATCAAAATAAACGTTTAGCTAATTGAAATATTAAGAGTGAATTTTGAAAAAATAAAATTTTCTTTTGTTTTACTAAAACATTCAATATTTTAGAATAATATCAGTTTAAAAGGACAAATAATATGACTAGCGGCAGTATTAACTGATATAAGTAAGATCAAATTTTAAGGCACTGACCAATGAGCATAAATCCATACTCCTACAATGCAAATCATGCATCTGTCTTTCTTCTCTCTCCTTGTTTCTTTTGCTGATTCATGGTTTCGCAAAATAAGATGATACAAAGTATATCCCTATTTTACTTTTTCTTTCAATAAAGTATATCCCTCTATTATTTCAAAAGATGTATATATGTATCCCCGCACCATCAAGCATGTGATAGGATGGATATAGGATTGCTCGAATTAAATATCACAGGTTTTGAGTTAAAGAAATAAAAGAAATTTGATAAAAAGCGCTTCTTCTTTAATAAAACTCACACAGAACGATTTCGAATTAATCTGAACTTCAATGAGAATCGAAACTAAAAAAATTATATTCCTTAAAAAAAAGACGGAAACCTTTAAGCGTAATGCCTGTGAAACCGCATAATTAGTCGAACAAACTTCGCATATTCACTTCTTTATAATGATGGAACTTTTGCTGGAAAAAAAAAAAAAGTGATGGAACTTTTCGTGGGGGCCCGTCCAGACATGTTCTCATGGCTTTCAAGTTTGATTTACTAATGCGTAAAGTTTAACCCCTCTCTCTATATTAATACTGTATAGCTATTTTAAGCGACATATAACACGTAGTTGTGTATATCCTACTTTACACTAGAAAGTTTTATAAGATAATTACCACCGACGGTTGGGGTGTGGGTGGTAAGTACCCCTCTATTCATAATCAAAGGCTTGAGCTTCAAACCGCAGCCCGGTACACTAAACTCCCGCTATACGCGGAGACCGGAGAAGGGTTGGACCACAAAGGTCTATTGTACGCAGTTTTATCCTGCAATTATGCAAGAAGCTATTTTCACGGCTTGAACCGTTCTCCTGGTCACGTTGCAGCAACTTTACCAGTTACGCCAAGGCCCCCCTTCAAAGGTTTGAACTTCATATACTAAAAATAAAGTCGTTTTTGATAGGGAGTATTTTACCCCCAAAATGAGACTTTTCAGGTCGAATCCAAATTAATCTTACCCTAAAATAGGTATCAAATATCTTCTAAGATAGTTATAAGTAAATCTTTATGATACACATAATAAGTAACTAGATAAAAACAGTTAGTAACTTGTTAAAGGTTAAATTATACTGATAAAATAAAAATTATTTACAGTTTCAGTATATCGTGAATTCACATGCATGATAGGGTGTAATGGCAAAATTTCATGAATAGACTGTTGACCACCGACCATTTGGACGCCGGGAATACCTGCTATCTGGCTATTCTCTTGCTGCAGTTTCAGAGAAAGAAAAAAAACCCATTTTATTCACTGTTAACAAACCATGGATAAAAACTCATGCTAACAAAGCCACAGAAAAGAACATCAATAGATACAGCCTTACAGGTATAGAAAGAGATTATGCTCGATCGTGTAAAGAATTTATATACTCTATTACTTTAAAATTGACTTATAACATAGGTAACTTTACAATTGAGTCTAGTAGCAGTAGGATAACTTTTAAAGAAATTAATATGCGATTAAATTATTTTTTATACTATCAATATACATAAGTTGAAACGCATGATATAAAAGCCAAATTTGACCTAAATTGAACAGTCACAAAGATGCTTTTCGAATTTGGAGGACTACTATATTCTTATTGATCTAACAGAAGCTAAACCTTCTAAACAAGGAGCAAAAAGGTACTAGTATAATAGATTAATATCTAGATAATTAATTTATAACCTGTTAGTTAAAAATGGTACTAATTTTTAACCCGCTATAATAGATTAAGGATTTAATTTTTATATATTGGCGACATGGCTTCCTGGTCACTTAAACTTGCATCATTTGTAAAGCCGATATATGAACTCTTGGGTTTCCCATTTGAACACATTTACTTGAAAAAATAGCTACTAATAAACACTTGTAATGGTGCGTGTTGTTCAATTGCTGCTGACATGGATTTAATTTAATATTTTGTATAGCCACATCATACATTCATTTACATTTCGTTGACACATGTAGCTCAAGGTTATCTAGGGATTTAATTAGTCACCTGCAATTATAGCAAAGACGAACATATACAACTACTGACACTTGCATTTTCCGATTAAAAACCATCTCAGTGTCCCGTCGCCGGCGACTGGCCAAAAGAGCAGCTGCTATAGGGAAGATGAACACAGACATAACAGCATCGGCAAAGCCGGAATACCCAGTTATAGATCCAAACCCACCTTTTACTAAGACCGTTGCCAATTTCAACACCCTCGATTACCTCCGTCTCACCACCATCTCCGGCGTCTCCGTCACTGTCGGCTACCTCTCCGGTAAACTCCTTTCTTTGCTTTACTTTTATCAGTCAAATCTTATTGATTAACTCTTAAATCAACCAAAACCCTAAGAAAAAATCCGTTAACAAATCATTGACCCAAATCAAATATCTGGGATCCATGTCTGATCCATCGAACAACCGAAACTTAACTTCTAACAAGTCATCTCTAGCATTTGCAATCGCCCACTACCCTCTTTCTTCTTTACTTTTTTTTACCTCCCAAACCTAAATTAAAAGTGCCAGTATATAGAGAGCAAAGTATATAATAATTTGAAGTATTATTAAGCTTGATTGCATTGAATTGAAGCTTGACCAAAACGAATTACAGTAAGAAATCTAAAATAAAGAGATAGAAATTGGGGAACCCTAGAGCGAACGTGAAAGAAAAGAGAGTATGTGACTGAAGTCGATCGAGGGTATGAGGATATCTTAATTATGTATGTGACAGTTACGTACAGAGGTGGGAGGGAGGGAAAAAGAGAAGGGGAAAGGGAAATGTCTCTTTTTTCTTTTCTTTTTGGTCTCATTTAATATATTTTATTTTGATTCTCATATTTTTTTATATAAAAATAATACATTACACGCGCCTTTGCAGTGTGATTTGCACACAATTTAGCCATGTCAGCAGTCCCGCTTCCACATAAGCATAGTCAACTGTCAAATGTGTTTATTAGTATCCATTGCATCAAGTTGGAGTGTTCAAATGAGAAAAGTGCAAGTTCATGTATCGGCTTTTAAAAGCCCTACAAGTTTAAGTGGCCAAGAAGCCACTACGCCTTATATATTTACTGTGTAGAATTTTTATTCTATCAGGTCTTCTAAAAAATAACTACAAGTAACTAATCTATTATAAGCGGAATCAGTCACTTGAATACAATAAGATAGATATCCTGCCAAGACATTTTAAGATACAAGTAACTAAACTCTTTGCATTATCAATATCTATAAGTTAAATCCATAATTTATGCAACACTAATCGCGCACGTAATTTTTTTTAACACCTCGAACACATATATAAATAAAATACATTGTTAAATGTTAAGATGAGGTCGAGCGTACTAACCTTTAGATGCAGATGAAGCTAAGGCACTACCACAACATGCATAGTTGCATTGTTGGGTGGTAATTCTAACTTAAGAGGACATAAATTCCCATTTATTTTGTTGCGCAAACACAATGTAATATTCTTGAGCCCTGTTTCTTCCTCTAACTTTTGAGTCAGTTCCTCTAGCCCTTTCCCTTTGAACTGAAATGAAGGTCCTTTCACTTCATCATTCACAGTTCCCTTCTCATCTGCCACATAATAATAGATCAGCCGACCTTCGGGCTTCGTCATGGCAGCATCAAATGTTGACTGCACGTTAATGAATTTAAATTATATATACTATACACAAATGTCATTGACACATAGTACTTTCAACTTCTATCTTATACATGTTGATAAATTTTAACGCCAAGTCCAAATGGAGGTAAAAATTGGAAAAATGTATATGAATAACACTAGGGTAAAAATGGGAGAAATGGGGAAGTAATAACATAGGTGTTGCCATGTAAATGCGTTTCTTGTGTTGGTGACGTGACAATACTTATTTGACAATCTTATCTTATCATGTGTCAGCTTAATTAGTTGTAAATTTTTAGCATTGGCTTAATTGAGTTTCCAATAATTTTCATTTGAGCGAAAAGGATAGTTAATTTATTTTCTGGTTACAAAATATAATTTTACGACTTCTTTGCAGTAGACCCTTAATTCGATGACATGAAATTAACCCCATTTCATTTGGCATAAGAAAATGGTGATCAATATATTAGACATTAGCTTTATATAGAAAACTAACCTGATTATGAATCTTGGAAGACCTGGAGAATGTAAGACGAAAAGATGAGCTCAAATCACCATATAATAATTCTGGTTGCGGTTCGAGTAGTAACTCTTTATTTGATTGGGATTGAGGTATAGTTGTTATTATTGTCGCGTCAGGCAGTAACTCAATAATATCTACTTCCCATAAGATCCAATCTTGATGTCTATAAGGTATGTCATGTGTAATAGAATTTCTAAAAGGGGGTAATCCACTATTTGCCCTTAAAAATTTCCCATATTTTGTTTTGAGTTTCACCAAGGATCCAACTTTAACAGGTTCCCATTCAATTGAGGAATCCAAAATTTTGGGCAAACTTTGAACAACTTTAAGACCCGTTACACCAAGAAGAAATTGTTCATCTGTGGCCATTAGGTATTTGCCATAACAACTATTCAAACGTACAACATTATTATTGATTCCTTCAGGAAATTCAACTGTCCATTTTGCAGTCTTAGAAGTTCCATGACGATGTTGGTGCACTGTTTCTTGATTGGAATTGGCATGTAAGAATTTCCCGTGGTGGCTTTTTAGTCTGACGGATTTTGCTTTCTCGAAGAATTCCATCCTAATATTCTATAACGAGCATGAAATTCCAAAATTAAGGACAGATACACATTATGCTATAATTTTAATCAAAAGAAAATTTCAGTAAATTTCAAATCTATTCACCAATCAACCTCCTAAAAAGAAGGTCCATCTTTTAATCTACAATTTTTGCATGGTGGATTTTTAGCCTAACAGATTGGCTTTCTCAAAGAATTCCATCCTAGGATCTTGTAAAGAATAGAGAGAAAGGATGAAATTCCAAGAAAAGGGGAGGAGACACTACAATTTTGAATAAAAAGAGATTTCAAGAAATAATAGATCTATCACTATTTAATTACTTCCTTAAAAAAATCGATCTTTAATCTTGATTTCATCTTGATCAATAACCTTTGGTCCCTTTCTGTCCACGTTACATTTAATAAATGAATCATATATAAGGACAAGCAGGAGAAAGATTTGAAAATGGTTATTGAAGGCATGCGATGAAAATGAAGGACGGATAGAAAGGAGCTTCCCACCAAAGATTACGGTTGGATGAACACAATAGCGGTGATCAAGCGAACATCCTTCGTTGAAAAATTATACTATACAATATAGGTTAAATATCATTTAATTTTGTGTGACTATTAATGGAAAATTACCAGATATATCCATTTATAAGTAGCTCATTACAAAAATTGGCCAATCTATAAAATATTACTAATATTAGCCAAATATTACTAATATTAGCCAATTAGCTAATTGTAGCAAAATAGGTCAATTTTTTTTTTGAGTGGGTGTTATTAGAATAGATTGGGTACATCTTAAAGAGTTCGAATCTCAGTTTTGGGATGATTTGGTGAAGTTTTGAGGTGGTTTGAATTGAAAATTCGAAGTAAAAATCGAACATGAAAACAATAATAATATGCGTATCACACTGTGTATCACATATGTATCATATTTGTATCAATTATGTATTACATGTATATCCATGTACACCTGTGTCTGAGATACATGCGTGATACATGTGTCGCAGAAGAACTTTTTTGAACTCGATTTAATTACGAATTCTGATACAAAATCAGTCCAAATCACCTCCAATCATCCTTAAATTTTGTATATTTACTTATCTATATGTTTCAATGAATTTCAACTATACCCATTGAAAAAAGTTCCTTTTTTGCTTAGATTTTTGAAATATTATATTTTTTTTTGTATTTCATCACCTTATTTGCTACCTCATCCATGAAATTTCCTTTCCGTCTTGCATCTAATGTTGCTAATCACGCTTAAAAATATGGAAGGAGATTTTTGCATGTGATTCTTTGAGATAAAGAACTTTATTTATTTAGTTTTTCAATTTTTATATGTGCTTGGCTAGTTTTGGTAAGTTTATGACTGATGAATAGAGGTTGGTAATTTGAAATTTAAATGGGACATTTTTGTAAGTTTCCCATTAAAATTCTTTGAAAACCCTAAATATGATTGAGAGAGGCAGCCCAACACAAACCGTGTTCAAAATAAGATGGAGTTCATGGGCTCGAATCCTGACTACATAACCCTCTTGAAACTCTCTTTCCTTTGGTTCTCTGATTATTTTATTAGTAGAATTTTCTTTGTTGTCTTTTTAATGTTAGTTTTGATTTTATAAAATTGTAGTTCAAATTTTTTGTTAAACCTAGAAAGGATTCTGAGGGTGCTGTATTATATCATGAACTCAGAAAACAAAGGGGGGTTGACCTGACCTCTAGAATACAACACAGATTGTTAGACAATCTATACAAAAAGGAGACAGTTAACCACAAAGTCTCCAAAATAACTACTACACAATTAACTAACAAAAAAGTTGGGTTTGTCGTATTTTATTCTGATGCTAGGTAGTTGCCATTTATCCATCAAAAGTGGTCCTCTAGCTTTCCCAGGCTATTACTAAAAGGAATGGTATATGGCTCCCTCAGTCAATGTAGCAGCTAACTTTGCAAGATAATCAACCACTTGTTTGTCTTCCGTAGCAATGAGATATCCTGACAACTGCTTGATCTAAAAGCTGCAATGTGTTGTCGATGATGTTTCTGAGGAGAAGGTTGCGAGCGAGTCTATTTCTCAACATGTTGGCCACAACCAGTGAATCCATCTCTATAGCACATCTGTTATCCCGCTAGAAATGCACCAGATCCCTCATAATGCACAACTAAAGCTTCCGCACAATTGTGGTCCTTGCATTATACAAGGATATCGAATGCAAAGATGAAATCCCCATGTTCATTTCTGACAATTTCACCTATTCCTGCTCTTCCACTCTCCTCCAAAAAACTCTTATATGTATTACCTTTAACTTCTCCAAAATTCGATTTCTCCCATGTGACATATATACTTTTAGAGATTGGCCTAAGCTTCTCAACATCCTCAAAGATTCTATTCCAAGGCATAATACAGCTAGGAAATGCCCTTGCGATTGTAGTCTTCATAGTCCATATAATTTGGTTTTCCATGCTAGAAGAAAGAATTTTTTTGTTCTCCATATTTACAAGCACACCTGCTCTTCCGGAGCTCCGAATAAATAGCAATAGATGTTATTCGTATGAGCATTCTATGAACAAGGTTCATGTATTCGTTTTTCCACCAGTTATTGAGGAAAGCCCACACAACAATTCTATGGTATTTGATTCCCAAAGGTTGGACAAATCTACACCAGAGGAATTGTGCAGCATCACTCTCAATAAGCAAATGTTGGATAGTCTCACCATGAGGAGCACAACGACAAGAGCAACTTGTTACGACCCAAAACCCACCGGAGTTGCGACGACGCCTAACACTACTTCCTAGGCAAACCAACAGTCACCAGTAACAACGAATTTGATAAAAGCATGGTTTAATAACTTAACAGAAGAAATATCATGAAATATCTGATGAAAATAACTAAAATACTGCTACAACCATCCCAATGATCTGGTGTTAACGAGACATGAGCACTACTGAATATCAAAATACAAACCAAATCCTCTGATACAACTGTTTGAACAATAGAACAGTAATAATAGAAATAACTGAAAGAGAACTTCAAGGATTGCAAATGACATAATAGCTACCTCGTAGTCTCCCAAACGCTAGTAGCAACTTAACTTTAGAAATCACCTCGTCTGAAGTACCTGGGTATGCACACGAAATGCAGAGTGTAGTATAAGTACAACTGACCCCATGTACTCAATAAGTAACAAACCAAACCTTGGGCTGAAAGCAGTGACGAGCTCAGAAAAAATAGTCATAGACCAATATTAATAACTAATAACAGCTCCAGATATAAAGGAAAACAATGTAAGCAAGTAGCTCAATGTTATCATGTTCAGCTCGTTCACATATCATGAATTTAGGCATGCTTTTCATATATAATAGTTAAAATCCAAAAGGGATAAAATATTATTTATCGGCTAGCATGAAAAAAGTAAATCTCATGCCTACATGTCAAATATACATGTAAAATCAACAATAACATAGTGGATCCATTAAGAATAATTACACTTAGCACTATACGGGTGCCTGTCATAACTGCCCATCACCAAACACGTATATAAAATATTGTGGTGGGGCCCACTATTGGTATGTCAGACTCCGGAGGGGCGTATCCTGCCCAAGCGTTAATCGTAATCACAAAGCCTAATAGTGACGCCTGGTGCATGCGTCGCCCCAACACAATAACACTTAGCCCAATATGAGCCTCGCATACGCATCACCAAAATATCAACACCAAATCGGCTCTATGGCCTAATCTCAATCATTAACTGGTCAAGTCTCAGTTAACCACATCGCACAGTATTCAATTTCAACAATGTTACAAAAATGAGGGCATCAACAACGTGTGAGGAATCAAATAAAAAAGTACCGATACAGAGGTATCATATACGGATATAACATTATGACTGAGAGTGTGTGCAATTAAGGCAAATAGCTCAGAAACGGCAAGAATGGCCCTATCAAGTCTCAACAATTAGCACATAGCCTAGACATAATTTCTAACATGAATTAGAGCTCAAATGATCATATAGGTAGAAAACACGGATATAACAAGGCATGATAGCAAAATAATCCCATAATATCCCAAAAGCCACCTGCAATAATAAATACTCCAGTGCACGCACACGTGCCCGTCACCTAGTGCGTACGTCACCCCAATACTTCTCTTACAACATAGTTCCCAGGGTTAAATACTCTCAAATCCAAGTTTAGATATGTTACTTACCTCAAAACACGTAAATCAATACTCCAAACCCCCCCC